GTATAATCTCCCTCGTCCCCCGGGTAATCCCCTTTGGTAATTTATGACCAGTCCTAAGACCATATTACATTCATCTACAGTATAATAACATTGACAGCTGCTGACAATAACGCCATAAGCATACCAACATTCATAAATGCACAAGAGCTGTTTGCCGAGTTCACTGGAGGTTTTCCTCCCCTGGCCTCGGGCTTGTTACATTTGCTCTGCTTGCTGTCACTCAAGCAAAGGGCGTGGTCCATGACGTGGAAAACGTAGTTTTGTTCCAAAACTCCAACTAGGAGATCAGCCCATGGACCACGGGAATAGATTCCTGAAGGAAAAATGGAAGAGGTATTAATAAATGATCAAAAAGCAACTTATCATTTATCAAAAGCTGTTGAGGGTGGGTGGAGTGAGTGGTGAAACGTATTGAGAGTGATATCCCAGTGCTAGACTAACCATCATGGTCATAATCATCATTGTATTGCCATAACAATCGAGTCACAAGCAGCATCAATCACCACCATCATCATAATTGGCATCATTATCGTCATTATTGGCATCAGCATAGCATTACCATTGGCATCATCATCATTGGCTTCATTTTTTGGCATCAGCATAAGTATCATCTTAGGATCATCTTCATAAACATCTATATTATCATCAATGGAATCATCTCACAAATATCATCATTATCCATAACGATACCACCATCACCACCGCCATCGTCATCATCATCATCATTACCTCAAGTGACATTCTTTTAAAATCATCCCCATTCATCGTAAAAAAAAGTAGTCAGCAAAACCATCATTTCATCATCACCACCATCGTTATCTTACGACTAATTAGGATTCAGCCCCCTCCCCTCCCCCCTTATCAACTTACCCACATCCTGTCCCCCATGGGATTCATACTCATCAGCACCATTATACAGTGATTGTTGCTTGAAATCAATATCCTGGGTGTTGACGCCAGTCAAATTCGTTCTGGGGCCAAAATTTGCATTTGGACCATTCTGGTAACCAAGGGTAGTGAAAGGCATTTTGTCATTATCTGCCAATTTTAAAACACCCCCTTGCTTAACCAGTCCTAATATTGGGTTTCCTGTGTCAGGATATCCTGCTATGGACATGGTGTGGCCATGGTCTGCTGTCACTATCACGAGTGTGTCATCTGATGAAATGAAAAGACGTTTCTTTAAATCATGGAAGGTAATCTCCACTCTCCTTTTGTTTCCTCTCTTTTTTTCCTTTCGGGTTCTTGCTTCTCCTCTCTTCCTTTCCCACTTGGCTTCCTTTCACTTCCTTCTCTTCATTTTTCATTTTAAGTCCTTTTTTGTTTCCTCTTTAATAACTCACATTCATTTCCCTCGGTTTTCTTTCCTTCCATCATCACATATTTTCTTCATTTTGTTTTCTCTGGTTCATTTTCCCTTTCCTTCCATTTCATTTTGTTAACTTTTTTCTGTTCTTTCCCGTCCCTAATCTCCCTCTCCTCTCCACAAAGACCTCTTTACCGTGGGCTTTATATTTTATGTGGGGTTTTCCGTGTCATTCCCTAGAGTATCATTTCTGTGCCGGTTAAACGGTTGCGCATAAGAAGACACATGAATACACAACTGAAACAAATAATCTTTTTCGAGAACCAGGAATGAAATGTGGTTCGAAATGGGAAAACATTGCACCCAAGGTAAAAAGGTCTTTTCCATGGGGTTCATCCTTGTCTACCTTTATTGGTTAGTTCTGTTGCCTTGGTAACCGAAGCATCCATAAGAAGGGTTTCAGTAAGCGCACGATAAGCATTGTTGTCATGGTGACCATAATCAATTAAACCACCTGTGGAAAAAAGTGCCGAGATGAATTAGTAAGATTAGACTAAAAAAAACAACAAAAAAAAAAAAAAAAANAAAAAAAAAAAAAAAAAAAAAAAAAAAAAACGCTGCAAAAAGGTCTCAAAAGCTGGTACTACTATTTTCCTCATTACTTGGAAACTCTGCACATTTATCAATAGCTGTTATTACAGTTGAGCTCGCATTGAGATATTCTTTTTTTTTAAGAATCACACAAGTTAGGGCTATAGGGTCGTTACAATACTTATCGTCTCATTTGCATGCATCCATAATGTCTGCACCAGTGATCTTTCAGAAATTTCCCACAAGTAAGCATTTTTGTTTTATGCAAATAAGGGCACCGTTTTAAGTCTATGAGAGTATTGAAGCGTACGAAAAAATAACGTGGCGGGGCCGGTCGTGACCTGACGCAAGTGTCGGTGCGTTTTGGCGGGAGAATTTTAGCTAAATCCACATGAACTCCATCAGTATAAATCCTTGGAGAAAATCACTTTGTTAAGGAATTTTCTGTAACTTATCGCAAAATCCGTGGAAAAATATCAAAATCCTCAAGCATGTGGATTATTCCTAATCAAGGATGGTGTGTAGCGGTGGATCGTCTCAGGTTGTATAATTTCTGTTGGCATCACATATGAGTATGGTTTATTTTGTTTCCCTTTTGAAACGAGTGTTTTCGCTTTGACCCCTGATCAACCCAGAGATTTTTTCGGCGAATCGAAAAGATTTTAAAATTTACAGCAAAATTACTTTAGAAATAAAATATACGAATAAGAGATAACCTACTTTCAACCACCAGAAAGAATCCTTTAGGATTTTTCTTTAATATTTTGATAGCAAATTCGACCATTTCAGGCAGAGAAGGCTGACCGGCAGTATCATTGATTCTGTCTACTTCGTACTTCATGTTGCTGTAGTCAAAAAGGCCTGAAATAGTAATAAATGAGAATAATAATGAAGTTGATGGTATACTACTTCAGAGGGGCTGCAGACGGTTTTGTGAATAAGCGCTGCCGGAAAACAACGAGAAACAAACAAGACTGAGAACGAATGAACCTCCGAAAAACACTAAACCATATTATATATAAGTGAAATAAGGAAGCAAGGAAGCAAGGAAGCAAGGAAGCAAGGAAGCAAGGAAGCAAGGAAGCAAG